AATAATAATAATAATAATAATAATAATAATAATAATAATAATAATAATAATAATAATAATAATAATAATAATAAAATGAATAATCAAGTCAAATTTTCAAAATTAGATATTTTACAATCATCAATTAAAGAAATTAAATCATTAGAATTATTTAATAATGATGGAATTGATCTCATAGTTTCAAATCCACCTTACATTTCACCAATGGAATATAATAATAATTTAGATCCGGATGTTAAATTATGGGAAGATAAATTTGCGTTAATGGCTAATGATGATGGAACCGAATTTCATAATCGAATTGCTTATCTTGCCTCAAATTATTTAATTCGAAGGAGAAGAAATAATAATAATAAATTTAAATTTCATGATGATGATGAAGAAAATCAAGAAATTATAATCAAAAAATATCAAATACCACAATTGGTAATGGAAATTGGAGGATCTCATCAAGTAGAAAAGGTAATTCATTATTTAAATAAATATCATTTTGGATGGACACAAATTTGGAAAGATGCTACAGGAAAAGAAAGATGTATTGTTGCTAGGCTAGAATGATCACGTGATTTCGATTGATTTTGTAACATATTATAATTATTTATTAATATTAATAATAATAATATTATTATTTATCTCTACTTTAATAATAAAATATGAAATGTACATAAATAATTGTTCATGGCTAATTTAATAATATTCTATAATACAATATAATATAATTTATAAAAAAATAATTGATAATTTATAATAATAAAATAAAATAAATAATTGTTGATAATAAATAAATAAATATGTAAATAAATTCAAACTTCAAAAATCTTCTCAAGAAAATAATTAATAAGTTCATGACCACCTTGATATAATCTATTTCTACATATAATAGCAGCATGAGGATGAACTGAATCTATTAATAAACTATGTTTATTCCAATTTAAGGTATTTAGATTATGTAAACTTTCCTTTTGCCGCTCCGATATATTAACTGGACGAAAAACTGGTGATGTAACAAAATTTGAAAGGCGTATTCGATCATCATCATCCTTATTATTATTATTATTATTATTATTATTATTATTATTATTATTATTATTATTATTATTATTATTATTATTATTATTGTTATTATTTGATTTCGGTGATTTTGATGATTTCGGCAAATAAATTTGATTAATTGTACCTTCAATAATTTCATTTTCTACATTTGTTATTTTATTCATAAATTTATTATTTTTATTATTATCTCCATCACTAATTCCATTATTCGTTCCATTAACAATATTTCCATCATTTTCATCATTAATTTTAATCCTATTTTTTACATTAACATAACTAAAATCATCATAATTATCAAATTCTAAATTCAAATAATTATCATTATCATCATCATCATCATCATCATCATTCTCTTTATTATTATCATCATTCTTATCATTATCATTATTATCGTCATCACCATCATCATCATCACCATCACTATTTTTACTATTTTTCGCTATTCGTATTCTTGAAATCATTCCTTGAGTAGCTAAAGTACCAAAAATGATTGGTACACCGAATGAAACTAAAAATGGAGTTGCTGCTGCAAAAAGTAAATATCTAGGAAGTTGTTTTTTAAATGATGAATCATGCTTCGTGGCTTCATAGGAATCTAAAGAAATGGAATCATTATCTTCGGAGGAGGAAAGAGGAAGAAAAGTAACAGAATTGGAATGTGAATCGGAATTGGAGGAAAGTTGACGGGAATTATTATTGGAATTTGATTGGGATAATGATAACGATTGAGAAGAAGATGAATAATGAGAAGAAATTGGGGAATTATTTGAAGAATTATTTGGTGAAGATGGTAAGGATGATAAACTAAATCTATTTTTATTTTTTTTATTATTTTTATTATTTTTATTATTTTTTTTATTATTTTCACCATCATCATCATTATTATTTTGAAGAGAAATCATATCTATTATATCTACACATTTTTGATTTCGATATCTATAAATTAAATTAAAATAAGTATAATTAATATATAAATAATATAAATATATAAATAATATAAATATATAAATAATATAATAAATATAATTAATAATTAATAATTAATAATTAATACATACAAATTCAATTCATCAATCATTTCAAATGGATTCACTTCAGTAATAGCAGCTGTCCAATATGGAACACTATTATCACCTATACCATTAGCAAATAATACTAATTTCTTAAATTTCGTGAGAGCTTTGTAAAATATTTTATCTATATTCATAACATGAATTGATATTAATTTATATGAAATTTAATATTAATATTTTAATTAAATTGACAATAAAATAATTAATAATAATAATAATAATAATAATTAAATATACATACTTGGATTAGATAAAATATATAAAAGTGGTTCATTCATGTTTTTAAAATTATCAATGTATTGCAATTGTTCGCCTTTTTGATTATCATAATAAATTATTATTAATTAATTATCTCCCATCAAAAAATTATCAATGATGATTATTAAATGAGAGAGAGAGAGAATATTTACCAGAATTAGACATCAAATTTGAAGTCGTCCAATTAATAACTTTTGTCAAATATCTATCATCACTACGCTTTATTCCTATATGAGGTGTAGCGAATGTGTTAAACGACTAATAATAAAAATATCAATATAATAAAATATAATAACAAATATAATAAGTATATGTAAACATAATAAATATATATAATATATATATACATCTTATACATTATTATTATTACCATTGGAGTAATTTCATTAAAGATTCCATTTTTATAAAGAATTCCAATGGCATATCTTGCCATCAAACCTCCCAATGAATATCCAATGAAAGAAATTTTGGTGATTTTTTTGGTGTTGTCGTGTTGTTTTTTGAATGATGCAAGTTTTTTAACGATCTTTTTTTTTTTAAGTTATTATTAAATAATTAATTATAATAATTATAATAATTATAATAATTATAATAATTATAATAATTAAAATCAAAACAATCAAAATAATCAAAATTTTTACGAATATTAAAAAAATTTAATTAGAATAAAATATAATAAATAAAATAAAAACATAATAAATATAATAAATATAATAGTTATTTACCTCTAATGCAATTCTCTCTCCACAAACGTCCACACCGTCATAAGTATATGCGGAAGTGACGGATTTCACATTTAACTAAAATAAAAAAATAATTATTAATTATAATATAATAGAAATATTCAATATTAATAAATAAAATAATAATCATGGTCTGTACTTACAACTTCAGTTTCATTACCATGTTTTTCTATAAATTTATTTACGAAATTTTGTAAATGACCTGGATTTCCCCATAATCTATTATTATTATTATTAAATTATATTCAAATTATTAAATCAATTATTAAATTATATAAATTATAATAATTAATTTTATAAAGATAATTTTTAAAAAAAATATAAATAACAATTCTTACCCATGAATAAAAACTACCAAGTGAATTTCTTTAATTTTATCAATTCCTAAAGCCATTTTCTTTCTATTTCCCTTTTCTCTCAGTAGATATATGATAAATATTATTATTATATTATTGTTGTATTCTCTTGGAAAATATCGAAATATTATCGATATAAAAACTTGTAAAAAAAATTTGTTTTTTTTTATTAGTTGACGACTTTTGTTAATCCCACATGAAAGAGATATTTATATTTATTTAGATCACAAATCCGGATCGGATGTAACGGCGGAATCCTCGGAATAATAGTATTTGAATTTATCCTATTTATTTTGATAATAAATAAATCCAGTTATGCATAAATAAGAGTACGAGTACGTAATTCGTTATTTTGTAATTTAAGAAATTTTAATGCAGTGAAGATTTTTCTATAAATATTTCCTTGAAATACAAATATATTTAACATTACATAACTAAAATGATTCACCATTGTTATTATGATTTACCATTATTGTCATTGTTGTCAAATATAATTAATAAAGTAATGAATAATTTAATATCATAACGATAATTTAAAAAAATGGACTATTCTAGATAGATATTCTTTGAATTTTTTCCACATTCCTTATTTTATTTTTATTTTTTTATTTTTTTTTTTTATTATTATTATTACAGTATAATCATTAATTCATTCCGTTAATTAAACTCAAATTTAATTTAATTATACCATAAAGTAATAATTTAGAAGTAGGCTTAATTCGTGATTCGCTAATGGATTTCGGGAAAACTTTTCCAATTATATATAAAAATTAATTTTTAATCGTTAAAAAAAAGGTATATCTTTTTTATTTTTTATTGATATTGTAAAAATATGTTTAAATCAGAACCATTGCTTTTTTATGATGTTAATGGAGAAAGGGACTTTTATTAGTTAGTTCTTATGATATTCTTATTCCAGAAATAATTTTTATTAATTAAAGAAAATCAAAAGTATATATAAAAGATATAAGTATTTCTCGAGAATTTATTGTTGTTCGTTTGCTAACGTTCATCTGCTTATGTATTACTATTACTAGGATCAATAATTATTCGGTGACTTTCAAAATAACTTTCAAAAATTTTTTAAATTGTAATATTTCGATCTAAAAGATAAAAACTACTACCCCTAGCATAATATTTTTTGATTAAACATTAAATAATTTTTTCGAAATATCTCACCATCTAGTAATTTAGGTAATGATATATCCTCATTCTAATTATTCTAATTTATAATTTGACAATAATTTTAATTCTACAAAAAAACCAGAACTTGTTGAAATTGGATTTAAATACATCTATGTCAGAAAAATCTTTATACGTTTTAATAAATCCATCGAATTTGAATAAAGACATTAGTATTTCTAAAGTTCTTGAAATTAATCGTGGTATTAAAGCATCAATTAATGGGTGGGGTTAATGTCAAGAAATGAACGATATTTTACGTCCACAAAAAAGAGTGGGAATTACTTGCCTGATGGTTGTAGTGAAACTGGATTTGGTTGGAGATATCAATACATTGCTAATAAATTCTTCAATAATCTCAATCATGGAAGAAAGGGTGGATTAAACAAAATTAAATCAAAGTTAATGCAACTTACGATATCCTATTCTTATTTTGAAAGTTCAAGTAGATCTTCTCATTATTTTCATTTATTTTCATTTAATTTAATTTGATTTATAATATAATCATATGTAACTTGTATATTTACTTTTATATTTTATCATATTTTTTAGTTGAATTTCGATTATTATATGACCTTTTTTTATTAATAATTTAATTGAAAAATGAATTGTAAATTGTCGAAATATTCTTTTTAATAAAGTTATATTTTTTTTGTTGTTAATTAAATTCCAAATACTAAATTAAACACTAATAATGATAAGCGTTAAAATTATTCTGAATGAAATTATCTCGACGAATATTTTTCTCGTTTTATTGTTTATATTGTATATGCACGTAAAACATTAAAAAATTACCATAACATATAATCTTTATTTTCTTTATCTTTTTAAAGAATAATTTCCACGCCACACTACACGTATCTCAAAATTCATATTTGTATTTTTAATATATTATTTATATATATTTTTCAATATATTATTTTTAATATGTTTTTATTTCATTTTATTTTTTTTATTTATATATATACAATTGTTTCGTCCTTAAAACGTTTTTAAACAGTTGCTATTGAATAATTGTTTTATATTTGACTTATTATCATAGCGTTGATCCAATTGAGAACCAATACTGACAAGTTAGGTTAATTATTTAGCCTCGATTGCACGGAATTCCTTCGCGACATCCGTCATGTTCTTCAGTGCTGCTTCGACCTCAGGCCATCCACGAGTCTTTAAGCCACAGTCAGGATTCACCCAGATGAGATTCTTAGGAATATATTTGAAGATTGCGTGCAGGCGCGTTTTCAATTCTTCTTTTGTAGGAATACGTGGAGAATGAATATCATAGAGACCTGGACCAATCTCAGCGGTGTATTCATGCTCCTCAAATGCATTCAGGAGTTTCAAGTCGGACCTAGAATTTTCAATAGTAATTACATCGGCATCCAAACGTTGAATGGCTTCGATGATATCGTTGAAGTCCGAATAGCACATGTGGGTGTGAATTTGAGTGGAACAATCAACGCCAGTACTAGAAAGAAGGAAAGCATCAACTGCCCAATTGAGATATACATTCCAATCTTCTTTACGGAGAGGTAATCCTTCACGAATAGCAGGCTCGTCAATCTAAGTAATCGCAAATATAATTATTATGACTACAATGTTCATACAAAAGCAATGCTACGTACCTGAATCACAGAAATGCCAGCAGCTTCGAGATCGTGTACTTCTTCGCGAATGGCAAGAGCCAATTGAAATGCAGTGTCCTTGCGGGGCTGATCATCACGGACGAAGGACCACTGAAGCATAGTAATTGGTCCAGTTAACATGCCTTTCATGGGTTTGTCGGTTAAGGATTGAGCATATTTAATAATTTCTACAGTCATAGGTTTTGGTCTAGATATATCTCCAAAGATGATGGGTGGCTTAGTACAACGTGATCCATATGATTGAACCCAACCGTTTTCACTAATGACATAACCTTATTGTAAAAAAAAAAAAATAATAATAATAATTGATAATAGAACAAGACTAATCAATTTATAAATTTATAAATAAATACCCTGTAGATTTTCACCAAAGAATTCCACCATGTCATTACGTTCGAATTCTCCATGTACAAGGACATCTATGCCAATTTCTTCTTGGAAGTGAACGCATTTTTCGATTTCTTTCTTGATGAAATTGTCATATTGAGTTTGATTTATTTCACCTTTCTTAAGCTTAGCACGGATAGAACGAACTTCTTTTGTTTGGGGAAGAGATCCAACGGTGGTCGTTGGGAAGAGAGGAAGACTTGATTTTTTTCGTTGGCTAAGTTGCCTTTCATGAAAAGGAGACTTGCGCCTGAACATATCAGGGGCGAGGGTCTTCATTTTCTGCTGCACAATGGGATTCTGAGTACGAGCTGATTTTCGATGACTTTGAATTCTAAATGCAAATTTTCAACTTAACACTATTTAATATCATCCAAAGACAAACTATAATACCTACGATTTACGGTTAGCTTCAAGCTCTATCTGAACCGATTGAACACCATTATTCAATGCTTTAGAGATAATTACTATTTCCTTAATCTTTTCAACAGCAAAAGATAACCAATTCAAAATTTCAGAATCCATTTTCTTTTCGTTTTGAATAGAATGAGGGGTGTGCAAAAGAGAACAGGATGGTGCTATGAAAACACGCTCAGAACCAAGGACATCAATAGCTTTCTGAGCTTCCACCAAAGCAACTTCTAAATTGGTCTTCCAAATGTCGCGTCCACTGACCAAACCAAGAGACAGAGAAACCTTTGCAGGCAGGCGCCTCAGAATTGATTCCAACTGACCAGGGGCACGAATTAGATCAATGTGAATTGCATTTATGGGAGTATCGATAATGAAGTCAAGGTTGTTACCAATGCGGTCGAAATATGTTGTAATCATAATTTTCAGCTGAGGAGACACCTTAGTAAGCACATTATAAGCAGAAACATATTCGTTCTTGATGGTAGACGGGAGGTCAAGAACTAGGCATGGTTCATCAATTTGAATCCATGTAACTCCAGCACTGACCAATTTAGATAATAGTTCCTCGTATAATAAAAGAAGACTATCCAATAACTGAATTGGTTTAAATCCTTGAGGAGCATCCTTTGTAGGCTTTCCAAGTATCAAATAAGAGACTGGACCCAAGATGACAGGGTGAGTTTGAATACCTAAAGCTTTAGCCTCTTTGTATTCATCGATAACTTTTGTTGAGTTGAGAGTGAATTGTTGGTTTGGTTCAAATTCAGGAACAATGTAATGGTCTGCAATAAAATATTAGGCGACGACGATTAGTCAAATGGAAACTACAAATAGCAAAAAAAAATTTTGGACACTGACAATTGGTGTCGAACCATTTCTTCATTTCGCAAGCAGCAACATCAACTCCCGGTTTTTGAAGACCTCTACACATGGCGAAATAAGTTTCAAGACCAGGGTTGAGGTTCTTGTAACGTGCAGGAATGACACCAAAAGCATAGGAGTGATCAACCACTTGGTCATAGAAGGAAAAATCATTAGAAGGAATGTGATCAAGACCAGCATTCTTTTGAAGGAGCCAATGTTCTTCACGAAGTTTCTATAATTAAATAGTATTAGAAAGAATTAATGATAAAGAAATCATACGAGTTATTACATACCTTCGCATCAGTAAGAAGAGCGTTTTCGTCAACTTTTCCAGACCAGAAATTTTCAACAAGACGTTTTAACCCACGGTTAGCACCCATACGAGGGAAACCTAAGTTGAAAGTAAAAACCATTTTGTACGAATATGAAAAATTTTTTCAAACAAACCTTTTTATTGAAGTATAGAAGTATAAAACATTTTGCATGTGAACGATAATTGCATCTATTTTTTCGGTACCATTTGGGTGTAGATCGATTATCTGTGTCATTCATCTTTTTTTTTTTATCTATTGTTCACGTGATATTTGTTATTATAATGCTGAAAAAGGAAATCCTGTAGCACAATTCAAATGTTATTTAGATGGAATAGGAATAGAAGATGTAGTGGGAATTTAAATGTTGGGGCAATGAATTTTAATGGAAATTGTTATGAATATAGATGTGAATGTGGATAAAGACAAAAAAGAAGCAATTAAATGGAATTTTAAAGGTGCTGAAAAAGGAGATCCTAAGGCACAATTTGATTTAGGACGTTTTTGTACAGTTTATGATGAGAATCAAGTGAAAGCATTTGAATGGTATTATTCTAGTACCTTTATGAAGGACGTGGAACTGTGCAAGATATTACTAAAGCTATATATTGGTTAAATAAAGCAAATGAAAATAGGAATAGAGATGTCAATGGGTTATTAAATGAAGTAATTGAAGTAATTGATCGAATGATCTTTATGTAATTATATAATATATCATTATCATGAAAAAAAAAAATACATTTTGTTCAACTTGGTCAACTTTTGTTCAAGATTTATTCGAGTTTTTTTTTTTTTAGGGGCTTTTTTGTATGTCAAGAATTAATGAATACTCAACTTTTATAAATATACTTTACTACAAAAAAATTATTTATGTTATTACATACAGTACAACTATTATAGTGCTTTACATTTGTATTATGAGTATATATTTTAAACTGTATCGTCATCATAATTAACAACTTTATCTATGATATAATATCTTTCTCTTATTTTAAAAAATCCTATACAATTCTCAATGGCACAAACATATAAATCCTTTAAACCAAATTCATGAAATAATAACCAACATTTCGCGTATATCTAACGTAAGAAAAAGAAAATATTCCATATTGTCATAGCATAATAACTAAAAATAATAGAAATTTAAAATTATAAATAAATTTATAAAATCAATTTATTCTTGACATTTTGACATATGTATAGTACGTTGAGAGAAACTGTCCATTTTTGGTACAGTACATTCTACAGCTTCTATTGTTTAGTGAGTGAAATGCATAATTAGATAGATTGCAAATAACTTTTATACATGAAAACTAATATTTGAAATAATCAAAATACATATTAAACAATCCATAACTGTATTTTCTCTATTTTCATCAGAATAGATTTCAGTATCCTCAAATATAGAAAATAAATAACCAAAATCAAATTAATAAATTTTTACTAAAATAAATAAATTACCTATTTTCGTTTTCGTATCATAATATCTAAAATCTAATTTTCATTATTTTCATCTGAAGATGAATTTTTATCACAATTTGAAGCAAATTTTCATCACTTCATTCAAAGATATGCCTTCTTCATCTTGTTTAATGATAAATTTTTGTCCAAAGAATTATTATATTTTCTAGATCTTTATTTAATAATAAAATCTTCATATTGGATCAAAGTTATCACTTGAGGATGATTTATATTTTCAATTTTACGATTCCGAGTTCTTGTGGATATAGAAACTAATCTTTCATTCGAATCTATTTTTTTACATTTAGAACAATTACAAATAACAACCTTCTTTGTTTGTAAAGAGGCATAATTGAGTATATGAATTTATTAGATGTATTCGAAAAATAAATACAATATGCAATGTGTACATAGATAATTATGTAATTAATAAATGATAAAGTTAGTTTATAAAAAAGTCTATTTTTTAATAATAAAAAAAAAAAGGTCATTTAATCTATTCTAAATATAAAAATAATTATTTTATACATGCTTCATTCACAACAATTGCACTTGACTGTAGTAATGAGTCTTGTAACGATGACAAAACAAAAATTTTGTCATCAAAAATATTTCAAAGACTTACTAGAAAAATAAGAAAAGTTATTGAAGAAAAAAACAACAAACGAAAATAAAAATCAAAAATAATCAAACTAACTTATTATATTTATTAAAATATTTGTTCAAGATGGTGATACCAACAATAGTATTACATGTTTACAAGAGTTAAGAGTCAATGATATGATAACCTTCAACAGTTTAACAAAGAATCTGTTCTTGAGGAATTGAACAGCAAAGATCTTAATCCAGAAAAGAAGGCAACGATAAAATTGTTTCTAACAAAAATTTAAGTAGCGATAACAAGGGTATATTATTTTTATAATAACAGATAATAAAATTAAAATGTATATTTTTTTATTTTAGGTGACTCGAATGATGAAAAAAAAAAAATTCCGGAGAGCGGGAAAATAAAATGCATACATCATTTTTTACGAACTTTATTTTTTTTATTACACACAACTCAAATTAATCATCCTAAAAAAAAAAGCAATAAGAAAATGCGTAATGATACAACCTTTAAGAGAAATAGTAGATATTTAAAATGTAAAAATTAATTGTATTATATTAAGTTATATTGATAATAATATAATATTTAAATATAGAAATAGAATAAAATTTGAACTATTTATTTTTATTAAATGGTACATAATAACAATAAAGGTATCAATGGTTATAATAGAAACATCCATAATTAAATTTGACAAAGAATGTTTAATGTAACTATTTTACGAAGAAATTCTTAAATAATATTAAATTCGAAGCGAAGGAGTACCAATTGGGGCTACGGATGAATTTAATTGATTTAGAGTGGTTTTAATTTAATTATATTTCCAATTTTAGAAATCATAAATAATAATACCTACAAAGTTGCAAATTCTATATACACGTAGTATAAACAGATGTAACTTATATAAAAAAGTCAGTCGTACCAATAATATAAAATTCTTGAATGTTAGAATGTAAATTATTGAATCGTACGTACAATGGAAATTTAATATAATTTCATATTTTTATATGCATTTATTGCAACATAAAAGCACACCTTAATGTTATATAGAATTAATGAAAAGGTGTCGGCACAAAGATCCATCTGAACGTCCAAATGCTGAAATTATTTATGATATATCAGAAAAATGGATCACAGATTTGTTGATGCTGTATGATATAAATAAGAAGATTCACTTATGTTTTTAAATGCAGATCAAAAAATGCATGATGAAAATATTGATGAAGACTTATTTTCTCCTGAAGCCACTCATCCTGAAGCAAACATTACAAGCAAACCTTTACCCTCTTTACTTTTACAAGATTTAAATATCAGTGATAACATTGTTTGGTCAAGTCCCATTAAATTAAATTAATTTATGAGATTTCTATAAATTTTATATTACTTATATTATTTTGTTATTATTAATTTTATATATAATTAATTGTAAATAAATAAATATATTGTGTTATTAACTTTACTAATTTATAACATCGACAATATTTTATTGTAAAAGATTAATTTGACAGTACAGTAATAATAGATAACACTTCAAGAATACTAAAAAAACATATCAATTGGCATATTATAAAAAGTTATATTTATAAGCTAAAAGGCTGCTGGAGAATTTTTTTTAAGATAAAAAAAAATAGAAATATTTTAAATTTTTTTATTTAATTTCAAGGAAGAATGTTATTACTTTTTAGTATTACTTGTCTTGGGTTCAAATTTGTGATCTGTAGATATATTCGTTTGTATTTATTAAAGGTATGATCTTTAATTTTTTTTAAGTTTACTTACCTGATTTCTTCCTTGGATAGATTCGCAAAATTATTTTATTTTAAAGATCTTTATTTTAAAATTACCTGATTTCTTTCTTAGAACTAATCTCTCATTTGAATCTTTTTTTACATTTAGAACAATTACAAATGACAACTTTATTTGTTTGTAAAGAGGTATATTTGAGTATATGACTTTATTAGATATAATTTTTGTATTCATAAAAAGAAATGTGTACATAGAAAAAATAATTATGTAATCAATAAATAATTTAGTTATTTAAAACTACAAATTAAAATAGTTTATAAAAGTCTTTTTTTTTTTTAATAAAAAAGGTAATTTAATCTATTCTAAATATAAAAATAATTATTTTTTACACGCTTCATTCACAAAAATTGCACTGTAGTAATGTAGTAATGAGTCTTGTACCGATGATATGACAAAATAATTCTGCAGATGGATCGGTGTCATCAGAAATATTTTAAAGATTTACTGGAAAAAGTGAAAAAGTAATTAAAGAGGTAGAGATATAAAATCAAGTACAACTCTACTACCTCAGAGGAAGAAAAAGAGCCTTCAGATGAAAATAGGCCGTGGTTAATTAAACGAACGAAACGAAAAATTCAAGAATAATTAATCTAACTAATAATAGTAAACATTGTATTGATTAAAATATTTAAGTACTAATTTAATATATTTAGATAGATCTAACAGGTTAACTCCTGTTAACAGTAGAAAAAAGTTAAAAGTCAATGATAATTTTCAACAGTTTAACAAAGATCTGTTCTTGAGAAATTGAACAGTAAAAAATAAGATCTTAATAAAAGGGCACATAAATTGTTTCTAACAGGTTTTAACAATGGAAACATTTGATAAAATTAAAATGCACATTTGTATTTGTTTATTTTAAGTTACTCACGGGAAAATAAAATGTATGTACTACTAAAAAATGCAATAAGAAAATAAGCAAACATATAACAATAGTTCCTGTAAGACAAATAATAGATTTTTAAATTATATTAAATTACATAAGCTAAACTGATAATATAACAATATAATATTTAATGTATGGAAATACATAGAAAATTTATTAAAAAATTTTACAATAGTTTTTATTAAATGGTAAATAAGAACATAAAGGTATTAATGATTAAATTTTAACAGACGAAAAAATTTTGAAGTATCAATTAAGGCTACAAGTGAATATTGATACTATGAATAGTGGTACATTTATGAAGATCTGGGCTGTGTACCTTGATTTTAGAAATTACGTATCGTTTAAATATGAAAATTGGGAAGACTAATAATTTAATATTTAAATTACAAATATTCAACTTCGTACACAAATATTATTGTTTATAATTTCATATTATACGCATTATTAATATGTATATTATAAACTTTTTATATGATTAATTCATCACTTTCAAATATATACGTTTAATAAAAAAAATATAACTTTGAAATTCAATAATTTTTAATATACCATAAATAATCATATAAATGGGAAATATATATTCCAGTGAAAATAAGACTATAAACATCGAAGAGATCTTGAAATCAGCCGAAGAAGGAAATCATAATACACAATTTAACCTTGGAGTTCGTTATCAAAATATGGATTGGAACCACAAAAGATGAAGAAAAATCATTTCAGTGGTACCTGAAATCGGCTGAAAGTGGAAATTCTAAGGGTCAATGTATCTTGGAGAATGTTTTGAAAATGGGTTTGGAGCAACAAAAGATGAAGAAAAATCATTCCAGTGGTACCTGAAATCAGCTGAAGGAGGTTACCATATAGGACAGAATCATCTTGATTATTGCTATAAATATGGGATTGGAACAACAAAAGATGAAGAGAAGCATTCCAGTGGTCCTTCATCAGGAAATTTTTTTAGGCGTAAATTTTCGAAATATTACGTAAATATTTCGGAAATTTATGTCTAAAAAATCTATTTTTTTGAATTTGCTAGCGATTTACTTGACAGGGAGCGATTTTTTTACTAAGATATTTCTAAGATGGATCGAAAGTCCTGGTTCCTGGCTACATGTTGATATGTGTTTCAATCCCATAGCATCGATATTCATTGAGATATTCACATTTAAAGTCGGACGTCCGTGAAAAATTTCGTAATATTTTTGATGATTTCGAAAATTTCGTAATATTACGTAATACGAAATATTACGTAAAATTTATTTGCAAAATTTTTCACGGACGTTCGACTTTAAACGTGAATATCAAAGCTACAAGAATGAAGCTTTCTATCCATCTTAGAATACCTTAATAGAAATCGCTCCCTGTTACGTAAATCACGAGCGAAGTCAACCAGATTTTTTTGGTAAATGGTGTAATATTACGTAATTTTACGCCTAAAAGAATTTACTGATGCTGAAGGTGGAGATCGTAAAGCGCAATTTAATCCTGGAAATTGTTATAGAGATGGAATAGGAACAACAAAAGATGAAGAGAAAGCATTTCAGTGGTACCTGAAATCAGCTGAAGGAGGAACAATTTGGGACAATATAATCTTGGATGTTGTTATTTCAAAGGGATTGGAACTGCAAAAGATGAAGAAAAAGCATTCCAGTGGTACCTGAAATCAGCTGAAGGGGGAAATAGTTATGGTCAAATCAATCTTGGAAGTTGTTATGAGAAAGAGATAGGAACTATAAAGATGAAGAAAAAGAATTTTATTGGTGCCTGAAATCAGCTGAAGGAGAATCAACATTTGGACAAATTGTATGTATATCGAAATGAAATTATTTCATATGCTAAAAAAAAATCAAAATAAATTAAGGCATATATGTCATAATTGTGAAAATTTAAATGTTCAAAATAAATAGAAATGCCAAAATGGACTAGTAGTAATTATGAAGTTGACAAAATTATTCAAATGACTCAATCAGATGAAAATGCAAATGAATGGGAAATTTGGAGATGGATAAATTATTGTAAATTGAAAAACATAGAATATTTAGCCTAAGGAGGGTTTGGAAAGCAGAATGAATAGATATGCCTGAAGAGGTATTTCAATTTTATAAATCAAAACAAGTTGTCTTGAAGAAACTTAAAAATTCACAAGAAATTACTTCAGAATTTATAAAAGAGGTAAATATTTAATGTATCAATACAATATATCTACATGTTTTTATATAATTGATAAAATATTAATTTTATTCATAATTTTGAAATATAGTTAACTGCAAATTTCCAATGTCGTAATAAATATGTTTTACCAAATTAATATGCAATAGTTTTATGTTATATGATTGATGGGAATTTGAGAGATTTTCTTAACCAAAATAAACCATTACCTTGGATTGAACGGATATGGTTATTGAATTCTTTTATTAGGGATTAAAAGTCATTCATGATAAAGGATATGCCTATCATGATCTTCACCCTGGAAACTTAATGATAACTGAAGCACATAGTAATTCAAAATATAAACTCATAAGATTAGGAGATCTTAAATTAGCAAATGAAACCTCATCATCATTTGGAGCATATGGAGTATTGTCATATATTGCACCTGAGGTATTAAATAAATATCAATGTACTCAAGCTTTGGATATTTATAGTGTTAGAATAATTATATGGGTAATTTCAACGGGAAAAAAACCATTTGCTGACAGAGCATATGATTTAGAATTAGCAGTTGATATTTTCAATGGACTTTGACTAAAGGCATACCTCATTGTTATATAGAATTGATGAAAAAATGTTGGCACAGTGATCCATCTGAATGTCCAAATGCGAAATTATTTTTGATATATCAGAAAATGGATCACAGATTTGATCGCAAAAAAGATTCACTAAATACAGATCAAAAAATGCATGATGAAAATATTGATGAAAGACTATGAAGACTTATCTTCTATTGAAACTACTCATCCTGAATCATACATTACAAGTAAACCTATACCTTCTGTTGATTTTAACATAGATAATCTGGCTGCTAGACTAAAATTGTTTGGATAACAATATCTGATATATCAATCCCATTTATCAACATAAACATAACTATTTTCACTAGTTTGGCGAATTTTAGTTATTACTATTTTTACTATATGAATTATATAATTGTATTTTATGTTTACTGAAAAAAGTCATATATTTAACATCTAATTTTGCATATTGAGTATCTTGTAGCACTTTTAGCACAAAAGACTGTTGAGTAATATTATTTTTTTGGTATAGGTACAATTACAGATAAAGATGAAGGAATGAAATCTACTTTAGCGGAAAATATTGATGCTGCGTTTTTTTTTTTTTTGTCAAATTTACTTAGATAATTAGTGGTATTACTATCAATGACATTTACTGAGATACCTTTAAACGGTGTTTAAAGAACGCCCAATGGCTCAATATTATTATTTTGATTGATAGAATTGAAAGAGGAAAATTATTATTAATATATGAAGCTAACTTTTGAATGGTTTAAGAAAACAGTAGAAGAAAAATTATTAGTATTATGATGGTTAAACAAGATACTGTTAAGGTCCGTATTGGTGAAATAAAGTAAAATCGGAAGATTATGATGTAGAATTATTGTTAGATGATATGATTAATGTATTAATTAAATTAAAACAAATAAAATTATAAATACACATTTATTTATACTGTATAATATAATATAAATTTTATTTATAATTTATAATTTCATATGAAATATGTATTAATAATTAATAAATTAAATTAAAATTAAAATCCATTTTTGTTTGTTAAGATAAAACAATCTTTAATGTAATAATTTGAAAAGGTTTAAATTTAATTATCGCTCCATCTTCACTGGTATAATCAATAAGATATTTATTATCTTCTAAAATATTTGTTTCATAAATATGATCTATTTGAAGTGAACTATAAATTTTTAAAAATAAATAAATAGTAATAAAAAATAAAAATAAATATTAATATTAAAAAATTGATAATTAAAATAATTAAATAACTTTGATAATAAATCAAAAAAAAAAAAAAAGGTAGACTGAAATGTTAAAATATCAAATATTACCTTCTTAATCTGGCTACAGCTTGACCACCGTAAGCTTCATATAAACGAAGAATTATATCATCAGAATCTTCAGCTCGTTTAATTGTATTAAGAATGACATTAGGTGCATTCTCAATATTAAAGTAAGTTTTAGGTTCAAATGAATTAACAATCTCTTGTGAGGTGGTTCTATTATTAAAAAAAAAAATTATAAAATAAATATATATTGATGATAAATTAATTATAAATTAATTATAAATTGATTAGATAATGTAAAGTGAGGGTACTTACTTAACAAGTAAAGGTACATTAAACTGATAAGCTTCATGAACAACATTAGATTCCAAAAATGAACCAATATGGGGGAAAATAGCATATTTAAATTTATGAACTCCGATATCACAATTATCATCAGGTGCCTAATAAATAATTGTTATTAATAATTATTAGTACATCGTAACTTAATTAAGTAATATAAATATTAATTCAATTATATCAAACCTTCGGAGATCTTAAAAGTGATAATCTCATGACATTTCCATGAGTTGCATAACCTAATTAGTTATTCAATTTAATTCAAAAAAAAAAATAATAATAAAGAATTAATTCATTTATTAATTAATTAATTCATGTTATAAAATATTTTTACTCTTACTTACCATATTTACAATCATTCAATAAAGCCACACCATAACCATATTCCGATAAATCAGCAAATTTATGTCCACAAACTTCAAATTTTGCAGCGTCCCAAGAAGTATTAAAATGTGTGGGTCTTTGGACAAACCCAAATTGAGTTTCATAAGTAGCCTATATAAAATAAATTAAATAAATTATGAATTAAAACAAATATAAATATAATATTATGTACATAATGAATTTAATAATACAAAAACATCTAACTTAATAAAGTCTGTAATAATAATAATAAATAGAAAAGTCATTCAATTACTTACATAATCGCTAGTAATATCAAAAGGAAATTCTACTTTCTGTGGATGTAAAATTATTATTATTATTATTATTATTATTTATTATTATTATTATTTATTATTATTATTATTATTATTATTATTATTATTATTATTATTTATTCGATATTATTCAGAATTATAAATAAAACGGTGAATAAAATATTATACCAGAAATTGTCTATTTTCATTCCAATCTACTGTAGTCTCAAAATCCACTCTACAAGAAAAAGCAGTTATAGAAATCACTTGACGTAAAGTACTGGTATCGGATAATTTAGTTTCAAGCAGTAATGATGCACGTAATCCGCTAACTTCATGAATCTTTTAAATGACGACAAAACAATAATAGAATAGTAAATAAATTAGCATATAATTATAACGATAATTAAAGTCAAATTATTATATCTACCTTTACTGAACCACCTAATCCTACATCACGTCCTTTTTGAAGATGATAAATTTCGACTAAATAAATAAATAAATAAAATAAAATAAAATAAAATAAAATATAATAAAATAAAATAAAATATCAAGTAAATATAATAAAAATATACATAATATAATACATAAATTAAACTTAAAACTTACCATCCCAAGCTATAAAAATGATATTTTGAAATAAATTTATAATAATAATAAATAAGAATAACAATAATAAATAATAATAAAAATAATAAATAATAATAACAATAATAAATAATAATAACAATAATAAATAATAATAACAATAATAAATAAATAATAATAATAATAATAATAATAATAATAATAATAATAAAATAATGCTTTAAGAAATTAATTATCATACCATCCCAGAAAATAGGCTAAATGTATAATGATAATTATTGATGATTATTATTAATTTAATAATTAAACATATATAGAAATAGAGAGATATATATATAACATGTCACTTACAATATCTTCATAACATTTAAATGAATTTCCATATCGACCAATAGGAATAATTTCTCGACTATAAATTAAATAAAAAAAAATGAATTGGAGAAGTGAATAAATAATAAATAATATAATAATAAATATAATAAAAAAAAACAATTATTATTAAGTAAATAATTACTTAAGTCTTTTATCAAAAAGACTTATTAATCTACAATGTTTGTCAAATTTAACTGAGATGAATTGGTTAATTAAGAAATAAAAATTCTCATTTATGGAAGCTAATTACAATGTAAATAAAATATTAATAAATATTAATAAATATTAAAAAATATTAAATTACATGATAATAATATTAATTATATAATAAAATTATTAGATATTAATTAATGAATATATAATTTACCTTCTGCAAGAACGAAGTCAACATTTTCATTTTCTTCAATATCTATAGCTTTTAAACCCATTCCTTCTACATCCTTAACTAAAAACAACAATAACATTAAAATTTATATATTATTTAAAATATAACAATTATTGCAGTGGTTGTATACCGAATAAATGTTATGGGGAGAGACTCATTTGGTTAATATATATATTTATATATTATTTAAAATATTTACCAAGAACATGTCTAGACTTTGTATTTTCTTCTTCACTATTTATAGGAAGTTCAACAACCTCAGTTCTACTCCATCCAAGTGTATTAAAGGCAAACAATCCTATAATGACGTGACGATAGTAATTGTATTAATAATAATGATATAAATCATAATAATATGAAATAAAAAATAATAATAGTAATAATAATAATTATTATTATTATTATTTTATAAAATATACCATTTTTATCATCAGGAGCAGATTCAGGTAACTTTAACAGAGAATTAAACGCATTTCCTAAAAGTTCAGTTCCTAAATAATAAATTATTATTATTATTTATTATTATTATTAACTTATATGAGTAAATTTATATATAAATACTAAAAATATATTATTATTTTTACCTGTCTTTTCAACTTCTTCATAGAACTATAAAATAAATTAAGTAAATTTATGATAATTATAATTATAATTTATGCACACATATATATATTTAAATAAATTTAATATAATTATTTACCTTATTTGCATCATCATATACCATTCCGATGGAAGAACCTGGTAAAACATCATGAAATTGATTCCTTTAAAAGAATTAAGAAAAGTCGATTATATTAATATTATAAAATAAAATATCCATATTCGAATTCATAATCATTTTGGAGAGTGCTTACAATAAAACATATTTCCATAATTTATCTAATATGTCTTTTGGATAGCTATAAAATCAAAGATTGTATTGAAAATTTAATTAATAATGATTAATAATAAATAATAATATTATTATGATTACATACGTGAATTCTTTATTCATGTGAGAAGTCAATGTAAGTAATAACTCTACATCTCGTAAAAGAAACTCCAATTTGCGATTATATTGTTTAATCTTCCCATGCGATGTGTAGGTACCTCTATGAAGTTCAAAGTACTAATAAATAAATAATAGATTAATTAGATTAATTAAATTAATTTAAATTAATTTAAAAAATAATATATCAATTATAAGATTAAATTATTACCAATTCCCCTTTCCAAGAAACCAATTCTGATGAATTTCTTTCTACTCGTTCATAAAAATCATCAGCCGATCCGATTTCAACTTTAGGCAAACCATCCTATAAAATAATAATCCAAGGATTCCAAGTTATTATAAAATTTAAAAAATTTTTTTTAAAAAAAAAAAAATAATTAAAAATAATAAAAATAAAATAATTACAATATCTTTCAATCGACGTAATCTTTCAATCATTGATGCAAGTGGACCACCACCTCCATCACCATTACCAAATAAAAGCAATGCTTCATTACTCCATTCCTTATCTTTATGATTTTTAACACTACGAATTAATTCTGAAGGATAGCATTGACCCACATAACTATGTTAAATAATACATAAAATTATTATTATTATGAATGCAAACAAATTTTATTATTATTGTTGTTGTTTTCTTTATTTTCTTACGTTTCAGCTGGACACATATGAGTCAACACCTTTTAGAATCATAAAATAAATTAAAATTAGAATTAAAGAAAATAATATAATAACTTCATTATTAAAACAGTTTATTTTACCTCACTACCATCAATTCCAATCCAATAAAATGTTGTATTGGGGAACTTTAAAAAAAAATTTTTTTAAAAAAATTAAAAAAGATTAAATTAATTAAAAAAATAAAGAATAATTTTTTAAAGAATGCTAACCTTATTAATATTATTCCAAGAAAGTTTTTGGGTGAAAAAATACTTTAATCCAGCACCTTTAATAATCTGTGGTAATTGTGCAGAATAACCAAATGTATCAGGAAGCCAGAATATTTTACATTTAAGACCAAAATTCTTTTCAAAGAATCGTTGTCTAAAAAATTATTTAAATATATTTATTTCAATATATATCTGTATATTATCAGCTATACAGTAAACATCATTTATTAAAAATATATATATAAAATTAATTACCCGAATATAAATTGTCGACAAAATGACTCACCACTGGGAATATTACAATCCATTTCTACCCATGTCTTATAAATATGTAAATATATATAAATTATATTAATAAATAAAAATATATGTAAAATATAAATACATAATAAATATTCGAATAAATTATATATATATATTTTATACTCACTCCACCAATTGGTAAGAATTGACCATTAACAGCTTTTTCTTGAATTTGTTTAAATAA